TGTTGCTGTCTTGAATTAACAACTTCAAATTAAACACAGTTGATGTTTCAAGGATGAAGATAAAAGTTTAATTGGATTTTATTGATTATGTTCACAAGAGTACAGAAGTCGGTTTTAAACTGAAAACCGAAGTTGTCTTAAGTTCGTGTACAATGTGATCGAAAAAAGATCCTCGTACTATCATAAATTCTGCTATTTATAGTACGGTGGCTTTTGTCTTCTTCCTCGAAATGGATAGAGATGCATTTAATATTGAGCTGCTTTGTTTTGAGGCGGCGGGAAACATCAATGATTGCCTTTTTGTTTCGTTGGTCCAATCAGATGCTTCTAATGATTGCTTTCTGTTTGGAGTGCTCAAACTTTATGGTAGTCGGTTGACTTGATGTCGGTTCATTTACGTTGGTTTCGGATGTCGGTTTTGATCCTCCTTGTTGGTCTGTCGGAAGAGATCTATGGAAGTCGGTAATTTGCTATAATATATTCCGATTTTTAGTACCTTAATTCTGATTACTGGATTTGATATCAACAAAAAGTATAAAGAAATTGCAATAAATCAATTTAAAAATTGTACAAATTCTTTTTTTTTTTCCCGAAACGATAGGTTATATTATAAATCAAAATGCACAAATGTGCGAATACACAAATGGAACAGCAGCCAACGGCTGAAAAAGTAGGAAGACAGGTCAGAAGACCGCCTAGAGTCCCGATACTAGCAAGACTAGAATAACAATCCAACTACACAAACAACACAATCCAACTACACAAACAACACAATCCAACTACACAAACTAAAAAACTAAAACAACTAAAAAGATTCCACATACCCAAGTGTCTGATCCAAACAGGATAATAAGTTGACACCCGGGCTCACAGGGACCAACTACCTAGACCAAAAAGACATGCCCTAAACAAACACAAACACAAACACAATGAAGGCCGTTCGACAACCAAAAAGGCCACGCAAAGCCATTCGGGCACGGACGAGACCACGCCTCAAACGGACGCGCCATTGGAGGTTTTGGATGCACATAGATGGAGGAAAACCTGGTGAAAATGGCTAAGGCACTAGGTGATTCGTGCAAAATGTCGGGTGCGTGACTCACGCAGCGCACGCGCAGGCAGACAGACAAGCTGGGAGACTCGCTGCACGCGAGCGCATGCACACCAAGGACGCGGGCGCATGCACAGCAGGTGGTGGGTTCAGGACGCGTCTGCAGGGGCAGTGCGGGTTCGACTTGGGGACCAAGAAAACGAGACATCTAGAAGGATTTTTTATCTGATTCTTTTCTAGATTATTCTTGGATATTCCCACATATGTTTAATAGCTTTCCTAAGTTATTTAGGCTTTGAATAAGTTGGGTAGTTTTAGGATTTTAGTTGATTTATTTTCCATTAATTAGTAGTTTATTTCCCATAGGATCATGCTAAGTTTTTCCCTTTAAATACTTGATATTCACCCACGTTTTTCAGCATGAATTAAGCAATAAAAATCGACCTTTGGTCACCAATCTCTTGTGTTAAGATTTTTTTTTTTTGAGTTTTCCTACGAAATTTTTGTGCCGGAGAGACTTTTATCGAATCGTTCGTCGTAAGTTCGAGCTGGCGAGGATCCACGTCCAAGCTACCTCATCCTATAGCTGAAAAAGAGGTGTCTTAGCATCATTGAAGCAACCTATTTTCGAGAAGGAGACGGTCTTTGTATCCTTTGAGGCAAAACTAAACATCGAGACACGCGATCTTCATCACCACGTCACGACGAAAGCGCCGTCCAATCAGGTGCCGATCGACCCCTCAGAGGGGCGAAGCCGACTGAGAGGAGGCACAAGGCAGGGGCAAATAGAGGATTTTGACCTAAAAAATTGGGGATTTTGTCTTTAAGAGAGAAAAAGCCAAAAAGGAGTATTTAGATGAAACAATTTTGATTCGAATTGAACTTTGGAGTTTATCTTGAAACAATAATAAACAATAAAGGTACCCACACCACATCCAAAGACCCACCGATTTGTCCCTCCATAATTTTTAATTTCCCTCTCCTTTCCCACTGTTCTATTTTGTCTTTCGCTTCTTTCCTCTTCAAAATCTCCAAAATCCACACAGCCAAAAATATTATTCCCTCTCTCTCTCTTTTTCTTTCTCGGACGTAGCTGGCAGGGAAATCGTTAAAACGCTCCATTTTCTGACTTCAACACTCTTTTGATTTTTGGACCACCACCATTACTAACCTCTTTTTCTCTTTCACACTGTCTCTCTCTCTCTCTCTCAAAGGTCACTTTCCCACTGTGCTATCGAGTCACACTTCACAGAGGTCGCGGTGATGGCGTTAATGGCGGTCAGCCCTTCATCACTCAGTTGAGAAAAAAAAAAACTCCCACGCCATTTCACGTGATTCAAATGCCTTCATCAATTACACATTTTCAGTATGTATAACATTTTTTTTTTCTCTTCACCGCTTTCTTTTGTATCCATTCATTACAGCATAGTTAAACTTCCTCGTATATATCTGTGGCCATTAGTTTGTTTACTTATCTGTTTACAAGTTCTTGTCTTGCCAGCAAATCCCCGGAAAAAAAAAAACCAAAAAAATAAAGTAAAAATGAGTCAATTAGGTGAAATGTTGAGTTTGGGTTTGCAGGCGAGAATAGATTTGGAGGGTGGAGCGAGAACCATTGTGGAGCTCTTGAGATCTGCAGAGAGGATGGACGGCGCAGATCAAGCGGCGGCGAGGAGGCCCTCCTTCAAGGAACGCCTCGGATTGAAGGCCCTGGCCTGCTGCGGCGCCACTTGGGCCCTCGGACTGGGCCTGGGGCCCACCTCCGCCACCGGCGACGTCGAGGACCAACAAACCATAGGCCCACATGAGGTCGAGCCCATTCCCTCGGCCCGGGACCCCGCCGACGACGGGCCGTCGCCGCCGTGCGGGGCCCGACCGCAGGCGGGCCCTGGGATGAACCTGGCGGCGGCGCTGGCCGCCGAGCGGCAGCTGAGGGCAACGGAGGAGCCCGCCGTGGAGGCGGATTGCCGGAGCGGGGAGGCGGCGGAGAGGGTGTCGCTGATGAGGCTGCTGGAGCAGTCGGCGGAGGGGAGAGGGGAGGAGGAGGAGGGGTTTGGTTGGGTGTGCTGCGTGTGCATGGGAAGGAAGAAGGGCGCGGCGTTTATACCGTGTGGGCACGCCTTCTGTAGGGTGTGTTCGAGGGAGCTGTGGCTCAGCCGAGGCGCTTGTCCCCTCTGCAACCGTCCTATCCTCGACATTCTCGACATTTACTGATATTCGTGAATAATGGTGGGGATATATTTGTAATTCGACCTATTCGTGATTCATTTGGGTTTGTGCAAGTGCAACAACAAAATTGCAGTTCAACAGATTTTTTTTTTTTTTCTTTTCATTTTCCAAAGACATTCGTTCTCGAAATGAGCTGGCGCGTTGACGGGATGAACGTGAAAGAAAAGGTAAAATTTCAATTTGATTTAAGATTAAAAAAAAACATGTATAGTTTGGAATGATGTATAAAAAGTGAAAGTCAAAGTTTCATATCAACTCTTTAATCGATATTTAACTCATATCAACGAATCAAATTCAAATTAAAATATATAAAATTGCATAAATAGTTTATACTTTATGGCCTTAGTAAATCTAATTTAATTGGTCTCGTAAACCAAACGAGCGTGAACCTTCTAGTTCTAAGCTAAACTCTTAACAACTCATCTTGTTTAATAACTCTACGCACAATAAGTATCAATTCTTCATTTAGTGAAATTCCATGTATTTTACAAATTGTTATTTCATTCACTATTTATAAAATATACACTATTTATCCATTTCATACTCTGAACTTCACTATACTCTTATTTTTTAATATAATTTCTAAATTAAAAATTAAGTGTAAGTAGATATTTTCTATAAAATTTAGTGTTAGTTCATTCACATATTTATATGTAACAATCAACATGTACAACATCCATATATTACACGAGTGTTTGTCAAGAAATTTATATTTAAAATAAAAATAATAACAAAAAATTATTTTAATTTTTAAAGAGAAAAATTACTATGTTACTATTTTTATTTAAAATAACACTCTACGGTTTACCATCTTATATTATAATAATTTTTTAACCTTATATTATTTAGCAACTTCATGGTTAAACTGATTTAAATAATTTTATTTCTTTAATTAATTGTATCTTTTATTAGTATATAATTGAATTTAAATTATAAAAATGAGACCGTTCCTAGAATATAATTAAATTAATATTATTTTTTGATTGAGATTCATTGGATAAATTGATTTAATTTTTAAAAATAATTAATCAAATTCTACCATTATATATTTTATTTAATATATATATATATATATTTATTTTTAAGTTTGTGACATATCTATCAATTAAGAATGGCCAATTACAACTACATGTAAAAGACAAAGTGAAAAAAAAAATAAAAAATGTGCGGGGTAAAATTTCACCCAAAGTGCTGGGAGTTAGACTGGCATAGGTAGGTTGTCCCCAATAATAAAGGTAATGCTATATTGAACAAAATTTGTGATTGTACATATTAATATTTAATAAGTCACTAGAAATTGATAAAAAGAAAAAATGTTGCAGTTAAAGCTGACGGTTGAGCATTGGATACCCACTAGAAAAGATAGAGCAAGGTACACCTCCATTATAGGCTTTTCATTCAATTTGTTCAATTGCAGTTTGAAGGAATTATCAAATTTGTTGTCCTTCAACATCATTTGAAAATATAAAATCATGATTAGGTGGTCTTTGATCCATTATTTAAACAAGTGAACCTCTATAAACCTAGATAATTATGAGGCCATTCACAAAATATGATCTTTCCCATTCGAATTTTCTCATACCATTCACCACAAAAATAAATTAAAATCAAATGTAAATTTGAGAATTTTGTAAAGTAGGTACAAAATTAATACAAGAGAAAGAGGGAATTGCAATATTAAGGATGTTTGGATACAATTTTTTTTTTTTTAAATTTCAATTATTTTTAACCAATTATTGTTTTTAACTCAAATCTATTCAACCTTACTTCAATCTCACTATCCTTAGTGTTGTCCATATAATTCAATAATACTACTTAATCATTTTGACATATTACATCAACTTCAATTCACTATTCATTAACTCACATAATTTTAACTGACCATCACTACGCATCATCCTTTTCTTACTTTTACATCAAATTAATTTTAATTATTTTATTTTAAGTATTATTTTAATATAAACCCAAAATCCCATTACCAACTAATCGTACTATTTTTTTCAAAAATTATACCAAACCAAAAAATTCAAACAAAATCAAAATATTTTATATCCAAAGCATCTCGTAAAGGTGCGTTTTTAAAAAGGCACTTTTACTCGTATATTGTGACTCTTTTACACATACTCTATTGTTGGAACTTGGAATAGTTCTGCAGTAGCCCAAATCCACTAACTTCAGTTGACTCACCCAAACAAATGCTTGGGCTTTTTCATTCATTTCTAATCTGTTCAGCCCAATTGATCACCCAAACAAATGCTTGGGCTTCTTCATTCATTTCTAAGCTGTTCAGCCCAATTGATCGAGCTTTTGGGCAAAGTTTTTGGTTGGGACGTCCAAGAGGCTGACCCAATTAACTAATAAATTTTCGGGAAATACAATTTGAGGAAATTGCGCCTCGCACCACCACACAACAACTTATTTGCACTATTACGAGGTAATAAAAATATTTCGCAAATCTACCAAATCTTATATTTTTAATTGCAAACTGATGATAATTCTATTATTCAACATAAATAAGGTTATTGGGATATTCCTAAAATTAGGGAAAGACGTATCCAACTCTCTCTCTCTAGCAGATATTATGATAGCAAAAACCCTTCGCCGATGACTCTCACCGTCACCTTCTTTCTCCTCATCCTCCACTGCCTGCCTCCGCCTCCTGCGAAGAGGTCCGATCAATCCTCGAGTTCAGAAAAGGCATCAAATCCCACCCTTCGGACCTCTTCTTCTCCTCCTGGATTCCCCCTGCCTCCTCCTCCGCCTGCTATGACGACTTATACGACGCCATTTGCTACACCGCCGCCTCCGCCGTGGTCGTCGCCGCTCTCGACGGCCTCGACCTCACCTGTGAACTGAAATTCTGGATCCCTGCTCGCAGATCCGTCATCTCCACTGACAGAGTTTGTCCAAGGCGGTGTGAGGAGACGAAGGGCGATTGTGACCTGGGGCGTCAAAGATGGATGGGGAAGGGCGATAAGTGCATCTCCCTGCTCGCGATTGTCATCTCCACTGACAGAGTTTGTCCAAAATCGTATTTTTTTCATTATAAAATTTCACATCCTTGTTTTTTTCCGGTATATTTTCGATATATGTCCGGTAAAATCAAAATCATGTACAGTTGAATGAACGTTAAATTCACAAAATATACCTCACGTTTATTGTCCTTTCACCTTTTTTTGCAGTATATATTCTATCGTGTTTGTATCGTCTCCCCCGTTATATGTATGGTTTATATTCAGTATATTTTCGGTATATTTTCCTCCAATCTCATTTACGGTTTGTGTATATGATGGTATATTTTCCCCCAATCTCATTTTTTTTTTTTTTTTGTGATTATTTGCGTAACTTTTTTCAGAATAAAATTTAAAAAGCAGTTTTAGCAAATGGACGCAAATCACATGCAAAAGAAAGGAGAGAAAGTTGAATTGATATGGTAACTGAATCAGACAGATTAAATGCACGTGGAGAGTGGTTAGAAATAATTGGTAACTGTCATTATGCATTAATGAGATAAATATTATCTTTTAGACAAAGTCACAATTAATTGCATATGTATGGTAAAGTTGTAATTTTTTTAGAAACTAGTGTGTATCCCGTGCGATGCACGGGAACAATATTAAATTAACAATATTATAAATAGACCTCGAGTTTGAGTCACTCAATGGCGGAAGTGGAAACTACCATTGATCTTATTTAAAAAGAGGAAGAAAAAAATAACTATAAATTAAAGAGGAGGATAAACAATACTTAATAATTATAAATTACGGGGTCAAACAATATAAAATTATTTTGTATAAGAGAATATAAAATTTATATTATTTTGTATAAGAGAATATAAAATTTGTATGTTTAATATTAAAAACACCTAAAATATTATATTAGTATTTGTAAGAGTAATCAAAATTTTCTATATTATTTTTGAAAGATGTGAAGTCACCTACAATTTTTCTAAACAATTTTAGAAGGAACATATCTAAAAACATTTGAATTTAACATGGCGTAAAAAAGATTTTTCTAGACTATTTTGTAAGGAAAACATGTCTACAAATATTTAAATTTAACATCAATTATGTATATATGTAAAAAAAATGTCTAAACAATTCGTTTAAAGTATCTAAAATATTATGAGCATAATTTAATAAAGACATTATGTCAGATAATACCGAATTTATGGCGTTACTTTCATCTAAAAAAATATTTGATTACACATCATTGTTATTATATTTTTTACGTTGTTATTGAGGATGTATTGTTAGCTTATAATATTTGTAAAAATATTAGTAATTAGACCGATGAAAATTAACCTTTTAAAGTAAATAATGGGTTTCTAGTAGTAGTTATGAATTGATTTTTATTTTATTTTATTTTTTAAAATCTATCATTATATAAAAAGAATAACCTTTTTACAAATTTAGAAACTTTTTCCCGCCAAAATCATTAAATATATCCTATAATTGTTGGACAAATCTGAATAGGCTTGTGCAGAGATTTGTTTTTCCTTTTTTTAGTTTATCAAAACCGTTGTTTGACAATAAATAATTGTTTTTCTTATTCGTATTTTAGTATAAATCCACACAAGTTTATCTCTTCTGTTACAAAATCTCATTGCATACGTCTCACGTGTTTAAAAAATCTCATCCCTTATCTATACAGATTTGAAAAAATAAAATAACATAGAAACCAATTCATAATTATTACTAGAAACCCACTATCTTTACAAAGAAAAAAACAAAATAAAATAGAAACCAATTCATAATTACTACTAGAAATCCATTATCTACTTTAAGAAGCTAATTTTCATCGGTCTAATTACTAATATTTTTACAAATATTATAAGCTAACCATACAAAAAAGTATAATAATAATTTTGAGATGGAGTGTAATCAATTTTTTTTATTTTTACTTATGCAAAATAATTTTACATTGTTTGACCTCGAATCTTTAATTTATAATTATTAAATATTATTTATCTTCTTTTTTAATTTATAATTATTTTTTTTCTTCTTCTTTTTAAATAGGAGCAATAGTAGTTTCCACTTCCGCCATTGAGTGACTCAAACTCGAGGTCTATTTATAATATTGTTAATTTAATATTGTTCCCATGCATTGCACGGGGTACACACTAGTCTTTATAGATAAGAGATGAGATTTTCGTGAGACGTATGCAATATAACAAATAAGAGATAAACTCGTGTAGATTTATGATATGAGATTGTGAGAAAGTTTAAATCAAAAGTCAATCGGATTTATTGTTGCAAGCTAGAATTAAGGAAACAATGCAATTAAAGAGCCGGTTTTTGTGCCTATTAACAATTGTCCAACAATTACTATATTTAATGATTTTAGCGAGAAAAAAATTTCTAAATTTATAAAAAGGTTATTCTTTTTATATAATGATAGATAGATGTGTAGGAGGGATGAAAATTTCCCATAAAATTTTACACACTCGTTTGGCAAATGAGGACAAAGACAAAGGTGCACAAATATTAGTGTAAAATATAAAGTACATACAATAATATGATTAAAATAAGCATTTTTGGCAAATTAAGTATAATTTTTACTTTAAATGCATTTTAGGCATAATTATTTAAATTGACAATTTAAGAGGCACAATTTTTTNAGACAATAAATGAAGGTCTACAACCCACGTTCAGTTAATTAATTTATATTTAACGAGCCACTCATCAATTGTATTTGAAACTCGAATTGAAATTGTAACTCAAAAGTTCAAGCAAAGCGGTCATCCCGAATACAAAATACCAGCATTTTAGACTTATATTTATCGTTTCAAATTATAGTTTTGACTTTTCATTAGTGGAGACTGTATCGTAGATCCGTCATTAGTTTAATTTTAAGCGCAACTACTATTTTCCCCCAATATTTCGAAATATATATCCTTTTTTGGTTGTTACGTACATATATTTAGTGAACTTTCTGAGAAATAATATTACTAGATGGGTGATAGAAATATAGATGTGACAGAAATAGTGCAATACATAGTTGGAAGATCAGACATACATCCAGTACTATATGGGAGAGAAAAGCTACAATTACAATTTTATATATACTATACTATATTCGGAAATTACATCATTAATCAGTGACAATTTCTCTCATATAAATTCTCGAAACATGATTTTTTTAAAAATAATTTTGATCACATTTATATGTTTCCTGCAACATACATTATTAACTAGTATTCGATTCTGTGCATTTGCACAGATGTAAATGAAGTATTATAAGTTATTTGTATGCATATAATATTAAAACTATAAGTTAGATAATGATATTATATTTTAAACATAAGGTATTATAAGTTATATTTATGCATATAATATTAAAATTATAAGTTAAATAAAGGTATTATATTTTAAAATTTGATCATTGGTTAAAATAAATAGTACATAACGATTTGATTGTATATGAATCACTATATTGATTGTATAAATAAAATAAATAATGTATTTTTTGAAATTTTAAGGGACTTTAATTAATTAGCTAAAAAATATTAAATTTATTATAACAATTGCTTATGCGATTTTAAGGTATTTTACTATGCCATTAAAAAAAATTAATTTATTTAAGTAGATAAAGAGATATTATATTGATTTTAAAATAAATTACTCGAACAAAAAGTTTTTACAATATAGTTTCTTATGTTTATGTAACTTTCACATATCATTTAGTGTAAAATATAATTGTTAATTGTAATAATAACTATTATATGATACAATTTCCAGAGCTGGAGAAATTATTTTGTATTGTTGTTAGTGTATTTGTCTATGTTGTACATGTGCTGCATTTTTCATTTTCACAATGATTAATTATTGTAGGGATATCATCAAAAAATAGATATTCCAAATAAACATTTATAAAAAGTTCTTTTAAAAATTTATATTCTGAATACATGCTTATGTAATCGGGAGTTTCTATAATAAATAATTTGTAATTAAGTTAGCATAGTAATGATTATATAAGAAATTAAAAAAGTAAATATTTTTAGCTAATTAACCTAAATTGATATACTTAGATAAAATAGTGGTCAGTAGTTTAGATTTTGTAACTGTCCAAAATTGATGTATTTTGTAAAAGTAACGGTTTTTGTATTTAGAAAGTTTGTATTATTTATTAGGTAAAATTTATTAGGTTTTATTTATGAGGTAAAATTAAATGAAAGGCTAGCATATATATATATAGATAGATTCATTGTCAATTTTTTTTTTTCAAATAAATTATATTAAGTTAACTTTTGTAAATAAAATTGATGACTACTTTTAATTTTTATTACAAAAATACACTATTAGTTCATTTTACATACTTTTATCATTACATTTCGTGTTATTAATTTTATCACATCAACTTTGACGAAATTGGGTGAGGATTTTTTTATTTATTTTTTTCAAAAGGTATACATATATCATCACCCATATTATTGTTCTCACATCAAATTTCTATTATGTTGATTTTAAAATGAAAATAATCACTAATATATATTTATTACAAATTAAAAATTACAATCCATCAACTCACATAATTCTATCTATTTTTAATTAAAGTTTATTATTTTTATCGCGTCATTAGTTAGATTACATATATTATATTTCTTCCAATTCAAAAATCTATACTTATATAATAAGGTGTACCATTTACGAAACTTAGTAAGTTGAAAAGTCAATACAATAAATGCATTACTATTTTGAGCAACATAATATAATATCATATCTATGCTTATATAAAAGGAGATTCTATTTACTACATTTACTATCCAGAAAAGTCAATTGCATTAAATACCATTACTATTTTGGTATTATAATATTTTATTTATTTAATTGATTTATTTATTTATTTATTTTAAAAAGATAAGTATAATATAAATATTTTAATAATAAAAAATCAAATACCAAATAAAAATGTACATTTTGACTTATTTGATTATATTTGGTATTTGATTATACCAAATACATTCCTATTTAGTATATACATTAAATACTTACTAAAGTATTTATTTGTTTTATTTGACAAAGTTAAATATAGATTTGTTTATATTATCAAATCATAAAAAAAAATATTAGATCCATATTGTAAAAAAAAAAGTAATCATAGTGAGATAATATATTAATTATTTAACAATATTTAACAATATTCCTTTTTTATTATATAATAAAATAATAATTAAATATTATATGGTAAACAACAATAAGTAAAACTGTTACTTTCTCTTATATCAAGTGATAAATTTATATGCTAAAATTAAATTTTTATTAGTATAAATGTTTTAGTGAGATAATATATTAATTATTTTACAAGCTAGCCCTAACATGCTCATATTTAATGTTTTAAAAGATGTAGAAAAAAACTTATAATAAC